GCACACCCCCCCCGCCCCAATCACTGGAGTTGCTATTCTCCTTCTCTCATCACTGAGTGAACTCTGTGCCTGCGTGGGTTATAAATTGCGCAGAGGACGTGATGGAATTGTACTCACTGTCATCCAGCTCCAGGATTGACGCTCCGAAGCTTCGGAAGTAGTGATGATGGACAGCTTGCTGTGCTGTGATCCTGCGCTTGCCTTCGAACTGTGGGGGAAGAGATCCTGTGTTTACCCTCACTCCCCGGGAGCAGCTCCGCTTCCAATCACCAGGCAAGAGTCTGGCTTCACTGCCACTGGAGCTGGGAATGCTGAGAGCTGGAGAGCCAGCGGCACTCAATGCCACAAGGATGGTCAGAGACTGCCAAGGGTGGCAGGTCATGTCAAGGTTGGCAGCAGGGTGCCAGTTTGGAGCTCAGCTTTCCTAGCAGTCCCCACGCTGGGTAACCTACTCCCAAAGATATTCATGTCCGGGAGAGACTGTATTGTCCCCACACCTCCCCCTGGCATGGTTTGAAAAGATCACGTGAGTTTACAGATTCCTCCCTGTGTAAACCCTCCTGGCTATGACTCTACATGTGGCTCACGTTCTCTGCAGCTCCTTCACATTGTACCAGCGGGACAGCTCCCGGCCTTTCCCTCAGAGTGCTGCACAGTCTGGAGCAAAGGGCTGCGCAGAGCAGGACAAGATGCTGGAAGAGGGAGTAGGAGATCGTGGGGAAGCGGGTGGGGGGTGCGGAGGTGTGGGAATGGACCCTCAACAGCGGGGGGATGGTGTTGGGAAAGGGGCAGTTCTTGTACTGGAAATTCAGTGAGGTCCACGCCGAGATCTGAGTGTGAGCTGATGTGACAGCGCTCTATCACACAGTATCTTGGTCACCTCAGGAGAAGGAGCCAGGCCCCCGGGGGGTGGTTGGGGGAGCAGTGACAGATGCACTTCTCAATGAGGGAGAGAGCACAGCAATAACATCATATGTGAGGGAGTTTGTTGGCTGCTCCTTCAGCCTTCCCCTCCTTGCCTTATTGGAAAAGATAATTCCTCACCAGCTTAGCCTTTCCACAAAGGGAGAACTTTTCAGAAGCTAACGGCCATCTTCCCAATCCTTTCTTGCACTTTTCCCCAAGGTGCCCACATCCTTGTTCAAACTGCTTCAGCGACCTCACTATCCCAGGAGTGTGCGGAGCTAAAGTTTGCTCCAAAGTGGAATGTGCCTTCTTTGCTTTGGAATTATATTGCCCCACCAGAACTCCGGAGCTTAGACTTTGGCTTTGCTGGCCTTCAGTGCTGCTTGCAAACACTGAGCTGCCTTCTCAAACCACTGCCAGCGACCCTGGTATATTTCTGAGTCAGAATGGCGAGTGGCTCGAAGGCGAATATGCAGTGGGGGTGGCGTTCCCATGCATCTGCTGCCCTTGTCCTTCCAGTTGGAAGTGGTCGTGGGTTTGGAAGGTGCTGTCTGAGGATCTTTAGGAATTGTGGCTTCTCCTTTTCACGTTACTCCATTCCCTGAGAGTGACAGCTTACACTGTGTTGCAATCTTCCTCAAGATTGATCATATCCCCCCACCCTAACTCAAACTGGGCAACAACCCGCTGAAAGGGCAGTTAGGGACAGGCAAAAAATGCTGGCCCAGCCAGAGATACCCATGTCCCCTCAGGGAATTCTTTTGTAAAATAAAAGCTGCAGCTGTGTCTAGCAATGGCTCAGAGCTAACACAATTCCATGCGTTGAGACTTTTAAGTGTGTGTTGCAGTATACTTTGGAACAAATATCTGACCAATGCAGTTACCTGAAGCAGTTTGGAGAGTAAGTCAATGCCATCAGTGTCCAGCCTGGGTGGAAAACAGACAGAGAGTGACTTTGTAGAAACCTATTACAAATGGAGCCCGACCTCCCAAAATACAGCAGGAAACCAGGGTTCAGGAAGCTTGGGAAATCTCAGGAAGGGGCACAATTCCCATTCCCTCAGTGAGACAAACGGTAAAAAGGCTTGTGACTGTGGGAACGCTGTCAAGCCATCAGTGATCACTTCAAGGCGAATGACATAAAGGTGGTCAGCCCGCAAACACCAGAGGAACAGGCAGGAAATGGCCCATGTTTACAGTAAACACCCCCTTCCCCCATCTCCCTGTTCCTCCCCGTCCCACCCCAACCCCCTCCCCCACTTCCCAGCGATTACATGCAGGCAAATGAAACAGTGCAAGGAAAGGACACTGCAGAGATGATCTAGAATGGTCTAGGCAGGTTCAATGGTGGGGGCGAATGGCCTACTCTAGCTGCTATGTTCTGAACCGGAGGCAGAGTGGCCTCTATCAATACTCACGGAGTAATTACCACTCTCTGTGAAAGAGTGCTCCCGCTATTAAAGACTCAGTAAAAATTTCACCCTCATACTGAGACGGTACGAGAGGGCAGTAAAATGTTTGAGAGCGCGGTTGGGGGCGGGGGTTGCATTCTGACATTCCTGGGCACACTGTGTAGGAAGGTTACTCGAGGACAGTCAGCGTCTGGCGTTGTTACACCCCTGCTAGACCTCTTGCTGCTGTGTTCGAACGGTAATCTCCCCCTCGCTATCATGTCAGCTGAAGGAACACAGTGGGCAATGATCAATCCACACACACACACACGGCTTTAAGCGGTGGGGAATCTTTAATCCAGGGTTGAGCTGAGAGTGAAATAATCGCCTTCACAAACACGCACCCTGCTGCTGCAGCTTGGACAACAGACAAACTATATCCGCCAGCACTCTCTGATTGATGTAACCTTCCCACAGTCTCATCCACCAGGTAGGACCACCACCATCTCTACACACGGGCTTGGTGCTGTCTCCCCCTTGTGCAAAAGACTAACACAAACCTTTTCTTTTAATAAAGGTCAGCGGGAACTCAAAAGCAGTAAACGTGCTATGGATAGCAAATGGTGGGAGTCACGGACCAGCAACTAGCAAACTGGTGATCCCACATCCTAAAGGTTAAATAAAAAACACCTGGTATCTACTAGGTACTGAACCCAGGAACCACATACCAACAAGAAGCGAGAGGATTCGAGTACAGGAGCAGGGACATCTTGCTGCAATCATACGGGGCCTTGGAGAGACCGCACCTGGATTATTGTGCGCAATATTTATTTGCTTATCTGAAGGAGGATGTTCTGGCTATGGTGGGAGTGTGACAAAGGTTTACCAGACTAATTCCTGGGATGACAGGACTGAACTATAAAGAGGACCAGAACAGTCAGGACTATACTCATTGGAGTTGAGAAGAATGAGGGGGATATTGTAGAAACTTAAAAATTTTGACAACAGGACTTGACAGGATAAATACAGGGAGGATGTTCCTAATGATTTGATTTGATTTGGTTTAATTATTGTCACGTGTATCTTGTAAAACACGGTGAAAAGTGTTGTGTAGTGGCCCACACAGATATAAGGGTTAAACAGCATTTTTTTCCTGGGTGATAAGCCTCTCCTTCTGTTCAGAGCAATACACTAGAACAATCCATAACGTGCCGTGCAGTGTCTAGATACATCAGCAGGCTGATGGAGGGACAGAGGGTAATGTTTGTGATTTGCAGTGCAGTGTCCTTAACCTGGCCATCAAACTCATTCCAAAAAGCAAGCAAGCAAACAAACAATAAACCAGTGGGGTGGGGGACATATCTGACCTTGGGGCATGATTGATAAGAGGCTCTGCCTTGTATCTTGGGAAATGATAAGCACTGAACTGACTGTGGGTCGAGATTCCTGACCATGTCTCCTCAGTTGGAGTTCCTGGAACCGAACCAAATGGCACCGAGTTATCCCCAATGGCTGAGCATTTCGGCAACAAAGAACAGAATCAGCGAGAACCAGTACCAGCTTCTCCTCACCCAGAGTCCTGAATATCAGATGCAACTGGTCCTCGACCGTGGATCCCGAGAAACAAGGGCGACCTGTTCCCATCTCATAAAATATGCAGCCGACGCCCCTGCAGAGAAACACAACGACAACGCAACTCAGGAAGCTATGCTGCTTGGCAGCTGGCAGCTGCAGGAACAATAATTCTCCATTTCTCACGATCCAGGACACTTCAGCCTATCTGCAAACCCAGAGGAACCCAGAGCTTCCAGCAAATGCTGTCAATCCAGCTGGCCAATCTCACCATTGGTGTTAGGAAAATTCCCGGCCCACTCTGGATTGTTCAGCGAGCATCCTTTAAATCATGGAATGGCATTTCATGTTAGACGTGACTCCCTTCCGTTTCACCATCACGGCCTGGCAGGTGAACAGCCGAAGGGAACCTGCTGCCTCACACAATTTGGCAGTCACTGGAACACCTGGCATCACCCTGGCACTGAAATTCACACACATACACACCGACACCACATTACTCACAGTGACGCCAGCATCTCCCAAAGATCTCGCCCATTGGCGGAGAGCTCAGGAACTGGGGGTCCCAGGTCAGAGGGAGTTGGCCAAGTGGCTCACTGAGGAGGAGGAGGAGGAGGGGGAGGGGGTCGGTATGAGAACAGGAATAGCGGGCGGTGCCAGTGAACGATTAGTTATCAGGCTGGCGGGGGGAGGGTGGACAGTACACAGTGAGGGCCGGTTTCACGTTATTCCAGTGGTTTGGACAGGAATTCAGAATCACCACCTCACCGCGAGCAGTGAAGCCTGGAGAATGGCAAACAGCGAGGTGGGCGGGGGTGCAAAGCGAGCCTCGGACAGCCTCCAAAATAGGAAGGAGGGTGAGGAGGTGGGGGGGGAGCAGGGCTG